TTTTATGGCCAGCGACTTCTGTGGAGATTTGAATTTGCTGGCAGGAGAACGCCGACGACTTACCATCGAAGCGCTGCCTCCCTCCCTACCTCTCTCTGGATCGATGTTCACGGGCCCCGTTCTTACACATGGGCTGGCGAGTGAAAACAAAATTATGCATGGCTTATTAAGTCCCCTCAAGACTCTCCAGCTGGTGATGTCGTATCACGTCGTGTTAGTATTGGCCCCTGCGTGTCCTCAGCATTGGTAACCAGGAGGATGTGCATTGCGTAAGTGTAAAATGTATGCAGTCTTTTTCACAATTTAAAACTGTTTGATATTTAGCACACTTGTATTATTGTAGGATGCATTTGTACATGAACTGGTCCTGGTATCTAAGGCCAAAGTGTGTAGTACCCTGTTAATACGTTGGGCAGCTGGGTAGCACTGGGGCAACACCTGTGCCTTACAGCTAGAAGGTCCTAGGTTCGATTCCCAACTCTGACGTCTCTCTATGTGGAGTTTACATATTGTCCCCCTGTTGTGCATGGGTTTCCTCCAGGTTCTCCGGTTTCCTCCCATAGCTAAAATAATTGCACAGCGCCAGTGGTATTGGCCAAACATCCAAATGCTGAAAATGTACCTGCAAATTACTCAATCAGGACACAAAGCAGCAGCATCGCCCCCTACTGGCAGGACTCTCCTTAGAGCTACAGTCTGTTCTCCTAGAACGTCGCATGTTGTTTTCATAACGCAAATTGGATTTAACCCGATTCATGTATTAGGGAACACATTTTTTTATAACGCGGATGCGAATTGTATATTACGCGATCGAGTGAACCAACTACGTCGCGTGAGTAGGAATTAGCGGACGTACGGCTGCCTCGGCGTAGCATCACGCAAGGCATCGGGATGCTGCTGGATGCTTCTAGATGCTACCCACACGCCTCAGTCTTTGTTCGGCCTGCATACGCATTTCACGTGTTATTGCAGACTGTTCTTTACCCTATATTATATAATTTATTTTCGGAACGCAACTACCGCAGTATAGGAGAACAAGACTGTAATTAGACTCGGTGAGGCTTTCCTCAGTAAACAATTATAATAATTTGTATATATAAATAGCACGAAGAGGTTTAGCATCAGGACCATGATAATCTCCAAAAAGCAGAAGCACTTTTATTGGTGGCTGACAAACAAGTGAGAATGTGCCTCTGAAAAGTAGAAACACGGATGAGATTGATGGCTCACACATGCTCGGCATTACTCCATTTTGAGCGATGTGAGCCTTGCAACATTTAAAATATATATATTTTCAATTACATTGTGCGCAGCAAATTCTACTAAGATTCTGGTTATGTATGTGTAAATCAGTTACAGTGCAAACCCTACAGACGTGCATTGATATTAAAACATTTGGCTGGCCTTTTAGGCAGCATTTTCAGGGTGCAGCACTGTACGTATGTACGTTGAACTTCTTTAGCACCGTGCATAGCCAACCGTGCTAATTGGAGATGCTAATCGGAGCAGAGCACGTTTCAATGTGTGTTTAACAGTCATAACCACGTGGAGCGGAGTTCGTGATTTGCCCCCTCTTAATGAGCACAGGGCATTGAGTGTCTTCTGCCACAGAGCCATGAAGCAGCGGTGGATATTCAATATTCCTATAGCTGGGCCCAGTCTTTCCATGGAGCAACGACCGTTGGCTTCCCGCAAAGTGGACATACAATAAACCGTGTCTATTTAGTGGGATTTTTGTTGTTGTTGTTGTTCAATTTCATATTGTTTAACCAGGTGAGAAATTCCAGAGACCAGAAGAGTCTCATTTGCAGTCTTGACTAATCTGGGTCTGATGGGACCCAGTTACAGCCGCATTTACAAAATCATCCCGAACCTATTAGGTCCCGTCCACAGTTCCTCGCGTGCAACCGCTCGGCAGGAGAATGTGATTTGCCAATTCGTGTTTGTTGTAGGAATGTAGCTTACTGTATGCCGGCAGCCACTGTCGATTCTGTGCATGACAATCGCAAAAATATTTGATTCACAAGTCGAATTGTGACCTCATTGCATTGAATTGTCCAGCAGATGACTCATTCGACACCTTTTATAGATATAATGAGCCATTGATTCATCAAAATCAATCCTTATGCCCTTAGGAGATGCATCAGATTGTGAGTAACATTATTATTTCAAATCCACATTTGTATGTGGTATTACACCTCTGTAGATTCCAGAGTTTCATGCACTCTATATTGTGTGCATTTACGCCACGAAAATAAAACATCATCCTTTTGCCATGTGTGGTGGTCACCAAGACAGGTAAAGTCATCTCTCACGGTGCTATGCGCGAACCACTGCACCACTGTAAAACAAAATCAATCATAACTCTATAGACTCTATATATTCACACCACTCTAGTTTATTTTCTAGATTATTTTATGAAGATATGAGAAAAAAACAATCAACCACCGGTCGGTAATATTTGCGGCCAAAATGCGATAGATGTGGTTTTTCATTTTTCAAGTTATAGACTCCGCTGTATCTTATCCCAATTTCAGCTGTTTGATCCTCCTAGAACATTGTATCTTACATCATTGACTAATCTTCTTTGGTTCTTTCGGTAAAGTCACGTAGAATGAGAATGAAATAATAAAATAAAATAAGACAATAAAATTCTCACGACGTTTCGGTCACAACACAAGTAGCCTTCTTCAGGTGAAAGAACAGAACTGTCGGGATGACAGAGCTTCAATTAACACTGCTAAGATTCGCAGCGTCTTATAAGCTCGGTGAGAGGCGTGGCAAGCCTTGAAAAAGTTCACATATCAAGGCAGGAGAAATTAGCATTGAAAAAAACTGAGGGAGTAGCTTGTGACAGAAATAGCTGTGTTAAAGTCAAAGTTTACATATCCACAAAGGCATTTAGTATATGGACGCTAAAGGCCTCCAATTACCAACTATTATAAAGTAAACCATAGCGTCTTTTAAGCTCGGTGAGAAGCGTGAAGAGCCTTGACAAAGGCGTTTACATATCAGAGCAGGAGAATTTAACATTGAATAGCCGAGGGATTAGCTTGTGACAGAAATAGCTGTGTTAAAGTCAAAGCTTACATATCAACAGAGGCATTTAGTATATGGACGCTAAAGGCCTCCAACTAACCAACTATCATAAAGTAAACCGATGTGAAAAAACTAAGTCTATATCTCATCAATATAATATATGTACTTAATATATTCTTCAATAAGCTGAGCTATTAATCATACAGCAACTGGGTATACATCACACTGTATAATGAATACCATATAGTAAACCAATAAAAACTAAAATATAAGCTCCTCAATGTTATCAATAAACTCTGTATACTCTCCAATCAGCTGAGCAACTAACAATAAGTCGTTATATATCCCAATGTTATATGGTGAAAAATGGCGGTTTTTCCCATCCCCTCAACACCAGCACAAAAGGACTGCGACATTCAGGCGGACGAGTCAATCCATGCTCGGAAGGGAGGAGGGGGGAGGGAGACACAGTCACAATGCCAGCGAAAGAGCTGCGGTCTGACGTTCACCGTAAAATACAATTAATTAAGAACCGAAATGGTTTAAAACATCTTTCCAATGGTTACTAAGCCAGAATCCATCTTCTCGGTTGAAATTGTCTCTGTGTTTGTATATGTGGATGGCCTTATGAACGAATCTCTCATGGTAGCCGGTTGGCTTGCAAAGAACATCCGTCTTGGAGAAGTCAATGTCATGTGAACCCACTGAATTATAAAAGTGATCTGCCACGGCAGAAGAGTTCGTCCTACCGTGTTTCAAGTCTGCTTTATGTTCGCGGATGCGGTCCGAGATATGTCGTTTGGTTTCCCCAATGTACTTGCTACCATAGAGGCACTTTAGTTTGTAAACGTCCGGGTACTGTATGTCTGGAACAGCATCTTTTACAGATGGAACCAGATCACGGATTTTATGTACTGTGTTGAATCGGACCTGGATCTTGTGTTTACTCAGGATTTTGGAGATCTTTTTAGTAACCCCTGCAATGTAGGGTAAGGTGATGGTTTTGAGTGGCTCTTCAAGAGGATCCTTCTTCATGACTGGAGTGATGGCTTTGCGGATTGTGTAGTCGGAGTAACCATTAGCCCTGAGAGCCTGGTGTACGTGCTTGAGTTCACTGGCAATGTGTTTCTGGTCGGAAAGAATATATTAAGTACATGTATTATATTGATGTGATATAGACTTAGTTTTTTCACATCGGTTTACTTCATGATAGTTGGTTAGTTGGAGGCCTTTAGCGTCCATATACTAAATGCCTCTGTTGATATGTAAACTTTGACTTTACACAGCTATTTCTGTCACAAGCTAATCCCTCGGCTATTCAATGCTAAATTCTCCTGCTCTGATATGTAAACGCCTTTGTCAGGGCTCTTCACGCTTCTCACCGAGCTTAAAAGACGCTATGGTTTACTTTATAATAGTTGGTAATTGGAGGCCTTTAGCATCCATATACTAAATGCCTCTGTGGATATGTAAACTTTGACTTTAACACAGCTATTTCTGTCACAAGCTAATCCCTCGGCTATTCAATGCTAAATTCTCCTGCCTTGATATGTGAACTCCTTTTTCAAGGCTCACCACGCCTCTCACCGAGCTTATAAGACGCTTCGAATCTTAGCAGCGTTAATTGAAGCTCTGTCGTCCCGACAGTTCTGTTCTTTCACCTGAAGAAGGCTACTTGTGTTGTGGCCGAAACGTCGTGATAATTTTATTGTCTTATTTTATTTTATTATTTTATTCTCATTCTACGTGACTTTACCGAAAGAACCAAAGAAGATGAATCCTTGCTGTCACGAAAGCTTTAAATTGAAAAATCATTGACTAAGTTACATTATTGTATTAAATGGGACGTGTGGGATGCCTACCATGAAGGTCTCAGGATTTCCATCGTCAGGTGTTCCCCTATCCATGCTGGTGAGTTGATTTCACTTGGATAATTATAGATGCTTTTCTGTGCTGTTTAGGACAAAGTGATGCTGTCACCTCTGATGCACCAGCTATCTGGGAAGGTGGCAGACGACGGCCCTTTCCGCCACAGCATCATCGACCTGACAAGTGCAAACGAAGACATGGAAGGTAATGATCTCCTCCGCTGTTAACAGGCGCACTTTGCTTCGAAGCCAACGTTTATTCATTCTGCAAAAAACCAACAGCCCTCGCAGTTACACATTGCCAATTTTACATGACTCGTCGGCATATGTACAGGAGACATTCTTTATTCTCACACTGTGACTTACAAACAAAAGTCATGCACAGTTCCAATGTACTTTGATGCACACAAAGGTGAATTCTGTTACGGGAAAGCCCCAGGTTCCAGACAAAAACATACGGATTCTGATTCTTCGCACGATTTTTATACTCCCTATGAATGCAGAGTGCCTCTGTGTTAACAATTGTGACGTCATCCCTTGCCTCGTGACACCATCGTTAATAGGAAAATCGTGGCGGTAATGGAATGTTTCCAGATCAAAAGCAAACAAACGTATCGTAACAAATTTACTATCTGATTTCCAGATTTTCGGATTAATCAGAAAATTGGGAGCACACCCCCATTAAAGACATGACGCTGAAACCTATTATAACGTATTTCTTCCATCGAAAATTTCAAAGTGGTCACAGCGTACGATGATACACATGCAAATGCGAACCTCTTCAAGTTGCCACCAGGGGAAAGTCAGCTTGGGAGCAATTTAGTTTGTGTGTTTTGTGGTACAAAGAAGCAACCTTGTTTGTCTGGCAGGGGGCCGCAGGGAAGCGCGATTAGCACGACAAAATGAAGATGGATGCATGGACGTGAGTCGCGTAGCAGAGAGGAGAAACAATCTAGCAGTTCACCAGCATTGGCTTAAGCAAAGCCTTACTCTGCTGATGAGACACTGAATGTCAAAACCGGTCCAGAGCTTGCTTGTATTGAACCAATGCTGCTGGAATTATGCACTCCCATAAGGCCGTGTGGCCGATGGGAACAAAATATATTTTTACGTGGAGAGACACATTTGGCGAGGGGGGAGTATTGTCTGAATATGTGTTGATGTTATTAGATCATTTCCTTTATGAGCAGTGGCCATTTAAGAGAGACAAGGGAGCTAAGACAACCAGGCAGATAAGGCTGGTTCCGTCATGACAGTCTGTGACAGGGTGCTATCGAGAGGGCTTCAGGCTGACTTCAGCACACAGTCATGAGGCCATTCTGAGGCAGACCAACCATTTGAATTGTTCGGCACTCCTCCTTCCCAACCTGAGATTTTATTTACAAAAAGAAACCCGCGTTCCCAGTGGTCATATTGGAGTTCTTAGATATAAAAAAAAATCAACAGATAAGAGGATGACTGATTACAGAAATATCACCGTATAATGCACTCATAGTTTAAGCACACTCTTACACGACATACATTGCTGTTTATTGCATTTGTAAACACGTCATTTCGTCCCTCACACTGTACATGGGCTTCATTTATACAGATGTTTTAATAATGCCAAGATTTGAAATCCCTAACCACAGTACAAAGCGCATTTGCAACTGGAAAAGGGGCTGCAAGACAAAAACGAAAACGGAACACTTTATGAGGTGTATTCAGTTTTTACGGTACAATTTGTATTGACAAAGCAACTAAATGCAGCCAATGTCTCAAGACGATCGCATGCTTCCCCATTCAAGCACTGACAAACTCAGCCCAGATAAGGAAACTCATCACTTGAACTATAAACCTATACACGCGGTAACAAAAGAGAAACACGCTATAGGCTATGTAATTTACTTGAACTAAATCTCCTGGCCAAATGCCAAAATCAAGTGTCTATTCAATTTAATCAGATTTCGAAGATAAGTAGGGGTGAGCTTGGATAGTGCTTGGATGGGCGACCACCAAGCATAACAGATGCTATAGGCTGCTGTGAGGTTACTTTGTCAACAGAGGGCAGTGCGGCCCAATCCACCGTCATTCCGTTCTCCAACGTACGTGCTGCCTCCTTCAACAACACGCCGCTGCCCAGCGCAGAGAAACGCGGTCAACTCGGCCCCACCACAGCCCACGTGGAGTGACAGACAGGCCCTCATCCAGCAGTGGGTTGACAAAAGTGCCACGTCTATAGCAAGTGGCCTGGCTCGTTGCCTGAACTGCCGTCGGTTGCGTGTGTGCGCGGGTGATCGCCTTGTGCAGGAAGCAACTCCATGTCGGATGCAAGAGTTTTCCGCGAGTCAAGGAGCAGAGGGAGCAATGAACCTCACATCAAGCGGCCGATGAACGCGTTCATGGTCTGGGCAAAGGACGAGAGGCGGAAAATCCTTCAAGCTTTCCCGGACATGCACAACTCAAACATAAGCAAGATACTAGGTGAGAACACGTGGCGAGCACGATGCGGGAACAACTGTAAATAAGCAGACAACGCGCCTCCGCAACGTATCTGTCCCACCACAGCATTGAGTCAACACAAGCAGATGCAAGAAACAATCAGAGAGGGTCCTTGCCAAATAACATCTGGCAGTACATCAGCATTGGTTGAAGGAACCTTGACTCTGCTGATGAGATACTGAATGTCAAAGCTAAATAAACACACATTGTAATTGGTAAAGGCCAAACAACCCAAAGCTGTAAAGTTAGCTGCATATTACTCAATTGGGATCACACACCGCAGTAACATCGCCCCCTACTGCGACAACTTGTCAGGACCTTGCTGAAAAAGAGTCTTGACACTCAAGTGAGGCTTTTCTGGGTAAACAAGCATAGCAAATAAGTGAACTAATTTCATACAATAGATCCAGAGTTTCATTGTATTCACCACATTCCAAGAAAGGCCGTGTAGCTGATGAAATGTGTAAAATATAGTTTTATATTTTTATGCGGAGGGACAAATGCGTACATGAGTATTGTTTGCTTATTTATTTTGTTACATATACTCTCTGCAATGACGCTAACTATTATTTTATAAACAGTTTATTTAAATATGTCTGTATAATATATGAGTACAAAATGTCTGCACGCACGTGTGTCTAGGCTTACGCGCGTGTCTAGGGTCACGCGTGTATGTCTAGACTCACGCGTGTGTGTCTAGACTCACGCGTGTGTGTCTAGACTCACGCGTGTGTGTCTAGACTCACGCGTGTGTGTCTAGACTCACGCGTGTGTGTCTAGACTCACGCGTGTGTGTCTAGACTCACGCGTGTGTGTCTAGACTCACGCGTGTGTGTCTAGACTCACGCGCGTGTGTCTAGACTTATGCGTGTGTCTCGGCTCACACGTGTGTGTCTAGGCTCACACGTGTGTGTCTAGACTCACGTGTGTGTCTAGGCTCACACGTGTGTTACTAGGCTCACACGTGTGTTACTAGGCTCACACGTGTGTTACTAGGCTCACACGTGTGTTACTAGGCTCACACGTGTGTTACTAGGCTCACACACGTGTGTCTAGGCTCACACGTGTGTTACTAGGCTCACACGTGTGTCTAGACTCACACGTGTGTTACTAGGCTCACACGTGTGTTACTAGGCTCACACGTGTGTTACTAGGCTCACGCACGTGTGTCTTGGCTCACACGTGTGTTACTAGGCTCACACGTGTGTCTAGGCTCACGCACGTGTGTTACTAGACTCACACGTGTGTTACTAGGCTCACACGTGTGTCTAGGCTCACACGTGTGTTACTAGGCTCACACGTGTGTTACTAGGCTCACACGTGTGTTACTAGGCTCACGTGGTCGCGTGGTGGTCACGAACCCGGTGACTCGAGTTCGATTTTCGCTCGGCCAACACCAGTGACGATTATCTGAACCTGTCTTGGGCCTCCCCTAGGTCGACTCAGCCTTAAATGAGTACCTGGTGCGATGTGCATACATTGTCACGAGGGAGACAAAGGTGGCCGGGTATGGTGCTGGTCAACCTCCCTCTCGTGTGCCGTGCCGGCCTTCATCGGTGCTCGCTAACGCACTTGCCCCAAAAAATGTATTGAGGCTATACGGGGGATCTTTGTGTGTGTGTGTGTCCAGGCTCACGCTGGAAGAGCATGTCCAACCAGGAGAAGCAGCCATATTACGAGGAACAAGCGCGCCTGAGCAAACTGCACCTGGAGAAGTATCCCGACTACAAGTACAAGCCTCGCCCCAAACGCACGTGCATCGTGGACGGGAAGAAGCTCCGCATAGGCGAGTACAAGGCTCTGATGCGCAATCGGCGCCAGGAGATGAAGCAGTTCTACAATGTGGGGTAAGATACAAATACTTTTTTTTATTCAACATGGAGGTTTTCACAGCCAATATTATGGTTCATATTTTGATTTAAAGCTTTCGTGACTGCAGGGATTCATTTTCTTGGTTCTTTCGGTAAAGTCACGTAGAAGGGAAACAATAAAATAATAAAAATATAAAACAATAAAATTCTCACGACGTTTTGACTGCAACACAAGCAATCATCATCAGGTGTGAAAACCACAAAAAAATTTCTCACGACGTTTCGACTGCAACACAAGCAATCATCATCAGGTGTGAAACCACAACAATATATTTTTTATATTTTTATTCTTTTATTGTTTCCCTTCTACGTGACTTTACCGAAAGAACCAAGAATATTATGGTTCATAGATTATTTTTTGTCTACGCCACGTAGTGTAATGATCTGGCCGAATATGTGTTATCAATGTCTTCCACCACCTGACGTAGCCAACCGGATTAAGTTGTCACGTGTACAAATCAGAGTCAGAATATTTATTTAGACTGGAGGAATCCAATGAGTTATGAAGCTATTTTCTACAGATGTCCAAGTAGGGGCAGGTCATAAAGTTACAACAACTAACAATACAAAAACTGATAGCAGTGCAAAGTATCGGAAAGCTAAGCAAATCACTAAATATTAATATATAAACGATATAAGTACAAATTGCATAAGTGCAAGGCAGCAAAAAACTGTCCCAGACCACACCAAGACAACACAGTGCCTCAATAAAATGTCACATTTAAAATGTAACTGTCAATACATGGGTAAAGATCAAAGTGACCAATGACATTGGCAAATTTGATTGTATCCAGCTCTAATCTTCTGCTTCGTGATACCGATTTATGAAGCCAGGTCAGGTGACGAGTTTAAAGCGAAAAGTTGCATCTCATATTTGACGAGGTTGATTGTGAGAATTGTCGTTAAAATTAAAACTATAAACGACTTTTTATTTTACCAGGTAACGCCCACTGAGCTTTCTTTTTCAGAAGCGACCTGGCCTCAAATGACACTCAACGAAGTGGCTTATCATGCGGACATTTCTAGCAGCTAAATACTCTAAACGCATGTTTCTAAATGTGGAGGGAAAAACCGGAGGACCTGGATAAAAATCCACGCGAACCACAGAGAGAAGATGCAAACTCAAATATTCATAATAAAGGTTTTTGGGTTAGATCTCGTAAGTATAAATGTGTCGTAACCCTCCACCACCCGACACAGCCATTAAATTTCGTCACATAAACAAAACGCGCCAATTAGTTACTACTTCAATTTGAGTAGTCCATTTTAACATTTAGGCTTTCGTGACCAATAACCCCAAAAAACTCTATTATGGTTGAGTACTCAAATTGTAAATGTTGTAGATGTATTCTCCAACACACCAGTCAACTGAAGTAGTAACTAATTGGCAAATTTTGTTTAGGTGACAAACCTTACTGGCTGTGTTGGGTGGTGGAGGGTTATGACACATTTATACGTCCGCGATCTAACCCAAAAACCTTTCTCATTCATAATGTTTGTCGCGTATGCGTACGTGTTAAACAAACTCAAATATATGCAAGCGTCAGGGTCGGGATCGAATGCACAACCTCCTGCATACCAGGGAGCTGAAATAATAATAATTGGCGCATCGTTAAAACATGTGTACACCGTGTGACAATTAAATCTGTTTGGCTGTGTTGGGTGGTGAAGGGTCTTAGCAACACAAATTTGGCTATACCATTACATGGTCTAACCAAAAAAAAGTCGACTTTCAATGACTGTTACTATCATTCTTCATGTATTGTGAGACCTGGCCGGGTTCTAACAAAAATTTGGTGCAACATCTGCGATGTGGAAGGAAACCGTGTTGGAAGCTATCAGGTCTCCTGTTCTATACACATAGCGTGTGCACGTTCTCCCCCTGTTCTATACACGTAGCGTGTGCACGTTCTCCCCCTGTTCTATACACATAGCGTGTGCACGTTCTCCCCCTGTTCTATACACATAGCGTGTGCACGTTCTTCCCCTGTTCTATACACGTAGCGTTTGCACGTTCTTCCCCTGTTCTATACATGTAGCGTTTGCACGTTCTTCCCCTGTTCTATACACGTAGCGTTTGCACGTTCTCCCCCTGTTCTATACACATAGCGTGTGCACGTTCTTCCCCTGTTCTATACACGTAGCGTTTGCACGTTCTCCCCCTGTTCTATACACATAGCGTGTGCACGTTCTTCCCCTGTTCTATACACGTAACGTTTGCACGTTCTTCCCCTGTTCTATACACGTAGCGTTTGCACGTTCTCCCCCTGTTCGACACGGGTTTTCTACGGGTTCCCCGGTTTTCTTCCATAGCTCAAAGGGAACATACAATGCAACCTGTATTAGCGAAACATCCGAGCGCTAAAAAAAAATATTTGCAATTACTTAATCGGTTACACATTGAAACATCACCTCCTACTATCAAAATCAACGTGGCAGGACCCTCATCAACAAAAGAGTCTTGAGACTCCCGCATAAGCTGGTGAAATATGACCACCTCTTTTAGGACGCATATGTAGTCGTGAATATCATGATGCATCTGCACACGTGCACGAATGTGCCTGGTGTATATCCCCTTGCCGAGGCATTTGCCTCGGCAAGTCAAAGCGCCTTCAATCGCGTCTCATCCCAAACATTTGAAGGGCACCCCCAGTAGTGACGCAGCACCACAGGTGGGCATTATGCTGCCAGTGGGATGCAATATTGCTGTGTTTATAATCCCGGTTCAGTAATTTTTATTTGGTCGCGGTGTGTGTGTGGTGTTTGGTTGATACCGTGATTAAAGTTAATACCGATATAGAGGGTGCCACAGTGGCGAGATGTTAACTACCTCACCTGGTATGCAGGATGTCGTGGGTTCGATCCTGACCCTGACGCCTGCTGTATATTTGGAGTTTGCATGTTTTCCCTGTGGTTGCGTGGATTTTTCTCCGGGTCCTCCGGTTTTTTCCCCCACATTTAGAATCAACGTGCATTTAAGAGTATTTGGCTGCTACTATCAATTTCCACATGATGATAAGCCACACTTTGTTCATTTATTATTTGTGATAGCCATGTCGCTTCTGAAAAAAAGAGCTATACAGCTCAGTAGGGGGCAAAAGAAAAAGTTTTATTGCTTTATATAGATCAAAAAATCATTTGTAGAGTACTTTTAATGAGGTAGCTGTGTGTGTGTGTTGTGTTTGGTCAATACCGATATTAAATATCGTTGTTTTTGTTTTGTGCCCAGCCCGCAGTCCCAGTTGCCCATGTCCTCGGCCAGCATGGTCTACCCTGGCGCCTTCGCCATGGCCAGCTCGGCACCGTCGCCTCAGATCTCGGAGCGCTCCAGCGGCTCGGGCAGCCCTCAGTCCGGCCTGCCCCCCCCCGTCTTCGCCAACATGAGCTACGGCCTGGTGGCACCGGCAGTGCAGCCCAAGGAGGAACTCAATGGGGACGACAGCGAAATGTATGAGTATGAGGATGAGGAGGCTGTGGAATACAGCAGTGGGAATGAGCAGGAGAGCGAGCACCATGCCTAGCACGGGCGAGCGAGCGGGCGGGCGGGCGGGCGGGCGGGCGTGGGCGCGTGCCCACGCGGGGCACCGAGAACAAGCGGCAGCCAGTCGTGTGTGCTTCAAACTCCAGAGCCAGCCAGACGACGATGAACAATTTAACCCAATTTTGAACCCCCTTCGTGTACACAGAGAATAAAAACCCAGCCTTTACAAGCAGGATCATGGGCCTAAGGCCTGCGGTAACCAGCCAAATTATTTTCTACAAATTATTATTTCTTAAATGATGCCCTCTTATTAAGTTGTGATTTAAAAAGACAAGAGATGCGCTGGACAGAATGTGCACCAAAGCGTTATCACTCGACGCTCAAAATATATTTCTGCACAGAAATACATATCTAGTGAATACACACTGTGACTGCATTAGAAGGAACATATCGTAATGCCATGACACAATTAAGTGATGCAGTATACACATTTGATATTGTCAATTCAAAACCTGATGTGATTAAAAAGAAGCTTTCATAATGAGTGTATTCCAGGTCTTGCATGAAAATAGTGCAGGAAATAAAGCGACAGCATGAATACTGTACAACAAACTAAAGTATGACCATATTAAATAAATCATCGTTTACTGAGCTGAACATACTTCACCTTTTCATACATTTTAAACAAGTCATATAGGAGCTTACAGAAAATAGTGTTGTTATTGTTCTCCCTCTCTTTCTCATAGATTTGCCCAAAGCCTTGATTGGGCTCGCTGTGGCCCTGTCTGCCAGTTCACCAGTTACCTCTGCATCATTAGCTCAGCAAACTATCTGCCACATTCCGTATGTCATGTCCATGCGGTGGTTGAGATGTAAACGCATGGAGCGCCGCTGTAAAACCTCTTCGTTCTGAAACAGCCCATGTTCACTGCAGGTTATCCTCGGCGTAAACATCACAGCGTAGGAATGGGACCCGTTCTGAATAGTGCCGGTACACACGTGTGATAGTCTCTGCCGGTATGGTGTACCGTCTAATTGTACGACCCAAGACGTACATTAATATACTAGTACACAAGAAGTAGTCATATTCCGGCTGGTATGCACAAACTCAAACTCTTATAGTCACTGAACTTATAGAATATTAGATTATTATATGCCCTTTGTACTTATACTTAAGTCTAACATGGAGTAATCCAGTTGGTTAATTCCGGTGTTAATGTCCACTGAGATCCAGAAAGCAAATCCGAATCACTGCAAAGTAAAAAAGGTTTTGGAGTGTGGTGAGTTGATGGTCTCAGCACCGAGTCTCCGAGTACTATACATATATAACTGACATTTGGTATTTCGCTTAATTTTTCCTTGCCCAGCTCTTGACCCGACAGCAAAACACCCCAAAAGCAGCCATGCCAAGTCGTGCTATTTGGTGGCTGGACCAGGGAGACCTATTGAGAGGCAAGCACTATTGTGCTCTCATCTGCTTAGGTGATTCTCAGTCGGTCGACCCATCACGTGAAACGCACTGCTGAAGGAACCTAAGAACAAAGACGTCTCGTCTCTCAATAGTGAGACGAGACGGAAAGGCTCGCCTGTTACCTTCCAGCGACGCAGTGTGCTTGAGATATTTCGACATAATCGCACGTTCTTTAAATGTCTTCATTATTATCATTCTCTGGGCAAAGACGTAACTGCTGCCAAAAGGGAGTTCACAACGGTGTTCGCCATTTGATCAGGGATCCGAGTAGTTCATTCTGGATAAAATTACTGGCGAAACGTCGTATTCAGATTGTAAATGCTGTGGCTTGGCTCTCCAACACACCGGTGTGCTGTACTAGCGACGAATTGGCATGTTTTGTTCACGTGGCAACCCTTACTAGTTAGCTGAGTCGGGTGGTGGCGGGTTTTAATGACACATTTATATATGTACGCAATCTAACCAAAAAAACCTCTTATGGATGATATAAGCGACGTATAACATTTGGATTATGCAAGGTTTCTTGTTTCTTTATGAAGACTTTCACCAACATTATTGGAGGCAGTAAAAATATGTTTTGCTCTTGTACAGATTCACACTCACCGTCCGTAATATGCCAAGCTCGTGTAGTCATATAATTTGCTATGTTACAGTGTTATTCCATAAAAGTAACTTTAAAAGACACGCATACACCCTGGACACACTTGCAAATGAGATCTTCCATCTGAAGGGATTTTCCAGGTGAAAATATTTTAATTAATAAATAAATCGAAAATAGCCACACACAAAACAATGCTGAGATCGAAACAGGGGCGAAACAAATAACTACACGCCTCATGTATCTATCGTGTAACGACACTCATTATATAATGGTATTGTGTTTCATGCACACAACATGTTAAACTCTGGATATTGTTTGAAATTATCTGTCAACGTAAACAAATCTAAAAAACAAATGGAAGGTTTTGTTCCTCCTATAATTTTACAATTCAAGGTGGCATCTTAGCGTCAGTAATGGCTTGGGTTTGCCTGTCCAGTGCATCGTTTGTGGAGATAGTTTGGCTGAGTGTGCAGGCTAAGGCTTTGTCAATGTGTTCGGCTTGATTGTATTTAAAGATATAACTCTTATCTTTGTAAAGTATAAAAATGCAACTTTAGCGGATATATTTCCCATCTTTGCTCTGGTGCGGTGAGGCTTATAGAGGAACCAAGTGGAGGTAAATTTTGCCCTCCGGATTTCGCACACTGTCACTCAAATTGTCACCGCTTAGCGGGACGTCTTCTGGTGCCTGCCTTCAAAAAGGGAACAGGCATACTAAGATGTCAAGAGTCGGTGCCAACCTGCAGCAACATGTAACAGTGTTCATGCCGTTGGTTTATGTGTTTAGCTAGAAATCTGGCCGCTTTTGCTCCATTTTATTCGCAACAAATGTGTAACGGAAAATGTTGGCAAAAGAGCAAAGAAATATATATAATGATTTTAAGTGCCAAATGACCCCCACTTTAATGCTGCTCTTCATACCCAGCAGCATCAGCAGCAGCTTTCAAGACTGACGAGTCACCACCTAGCGCACGTGGACTGGCTGGAGTGTCGCGCGGAGGGGCCAGAGCCCTCCCCGTTGTTGGTCACGTAGACACACAGGAAGTCGTGGTCTGTTGGTCACACATACACACACACACAGGAAGTCGTGGTATGTTGGTCACACACACACACACAGGAGGTCGTGGTATGTTGGTCACACACACACAGGAAGTCGTGGTCTGTTGGTCACACACACACAGGAAGTCGTGGTATGTTGGTCACACACAGGAAGTCGTGGTATGTTGGTCACACACACACAAGAGGTCGTGGAATGTTGGTCACACACACACAGGAAGTCGTGGAATGTTGGTCACACACACAGGAGGTCGTGGTATGTTGGTCACACACACACACACAGGAAGTCGTGGTATGTTGGTCACGTACACACAGGAGGTCGTGGTATGTTGGTCACACACACACAGGAGGTCGTGGTATGTTGGTCACACACACACAGGAGGTCGTGGTCTGTCTGCTCGATGAAAATATAGAACTGAGGTTTTTTTCTTGTCTAGCACTTCAAAGCAGTTTTTTTTGTTTTTATTTTTATTTATTTTGAAATAAATCATAAAATAGGTACTTGCTTTTAAAGCTGCATAGGTACAGAATTTCAACAAACATCTGATTTTGGAGATAAAACTAACATTTTACAGTTATATTGAGCACAATGAAAAGTTGTTTACATTTTATCCTCTGAGCGAAATAAAGTAGAAAGTGCTATATACATATTGGGAGTGTGAATGTGACCGATATTTGCAGTGTATATCGCTTAAAATAGTCCCAACTTTATTCTTGTTAAAGCATATAGCTTTTTTTTAAGACTTCATCCGGACTCCGTGAAATACCATGAACTCGCCATCCCGGCCATCGCCCATTTGTCAACAAAATCGCAGCACTCGGTGGGTTCACTGTTGTGATGAATCCGAGCAATGTGTAACAAAATTGTAGGAGACGTTACATCCCTGAAAACTTCCGTTGGCAAAGTTGTGTGTCAATGATGCTCTGTCGTTTGGTGATGAGACCGCTTGAGGGTTGACAATGGAATGAAAACGAGACACGTGAAGGAAATCTACTATTGTGTCTTAGACACAAAAAGAGGTATGCCGCATTGGTGGCGTACCTCTTTTTTTGTACATGTCAAAGCGCACGTTCAACACACTCCAGTGTCAATTACTGCTACTCTTAATAAAAATAATAATTAAAATGTCTTTAATATTTCAATTGTTATCCTGGCTTGGGCAGATTGGTACGGTTTTGTAATTGTTAGAGACTTGAAAAGGCTGTCATGTTAGTGATGTATGTGAGGCACAACATGGCTTAAGAGGAGAGCACAGGTCTTTCTTAATTGACACAGGCCTCTGTGCTGTGGGGCCTCCCTGCTTAGGACTCAGGTACATGAATGCCCATCAGCTGGCTCATGGAGTGTGCTGAGTGAATCTAACCTATTCTAATGGCGACGCCAGTTCAACGCATACGTTAGACTCCCATTACGCATAAAACACCGGACAAGTATCGTAAACATTTTGTAGAATGGAAACAAATGACAATTAGAATTTTCCTTCTTGTATTTTGAATTTAGAGTGCCAAACATGTTTTTATTGCTATTTCAAGACTAAGTCATAATGAATGAGATTAATATCGTCTTAGTACCCCCAAGTTCCTTCCATTATATGCACAGGCTGCTACATATTTCAACGTAATAAATGACAAACTCAGGTAAAGGTTTTCACAATTTGTAATTGATCAGCATAGACGAACTTCACTTCCTCGTGGGATGTTAAACAAGAGACGCTTAGAAATGAGTAGAAGCACAAACTGCATGCCTTCTGCCACCAGTAGTCCAGTCGATGCTAATAGAATGGACCATGCTGCTTTATAGGTCCTTGCTTATTGTATTTAACAGCCTTTTGTTATTAGGTTTTTCTTACAAATCCCTATTTATTTATTCAGCTTTGCCCTGTATCGTACGTCCAATTTTGTGTAGATACTGTAGATATTAGTCCATATGTTGGCCATGCCAACACAAATAGATTTCCTAGCTGCATTTCAAAATATGAACATTTTTCAGTTTGGTTAAGTTGTGTCACATGGACTGTTATTTGGAATGTTGCTCGTTTCGGTTTCTTGCTTTTCATGTAGCTATCCGCCGTCGTGCAACCACAGTCAAAACTGGTGTGTTGAGAGAGCACTGTTTTAATGAAAAATGCTTAAATCAATAGTGTAAACTGTTCACAAAACATATGCGATGTGTGTGAATACTGTTCATATTGCTTGTGGGACTTGCTCACAGCTGCTGTGTAAGAGTGTTAAAATGTTCGTGTTATTTATGCAACTTTGTCTCTGCAGAGTTTTTTAGCTCCATAGTTCCCCGTGATTAAAAGGAATTGGACAAAAGCACAATGCCTACTGTCATCATATTTATTCACATCCCGCTATGAGGCATTCCACGAGCGATATGAACTATAATTTTGACTTATAATATGTAAAAAAAATACCGTTTTAAAAAGTAACTTTTATTTTAAAGAAAACATGAAAAAAGACAATCATATCTCAGTGTTTATTGACTTGGAGCTAAAAAAATGAAAATAAAAGTTGACGATAACCATCTGTATGTGTAACATAGGGGAAAATAGAGTTTTATTTTTGTTTGTAACAGTGTAATATAAGTTATGTATTGACCATGTTCGTTTTTACTTTTCTAACGTAATGCTTTATTTTAAGTGGACCTTCAGTATTACGTCCAGAGTAAAAGTTTGGTGCGGTCATTGTTGATCAAAAAAATTCGCATTGCAATGCAGATAATAGAGTATTTGCTATTTTGCAAACCAATCTAGTGCCACTTAAAATGGAGTATTATAACACTCATGCTGGGCTGTGCTTGGTACTAGCTGCCTTTTGGTAGACAGTACAGTTCGTATGATGTCCTTGGTGCGTACGGTCTGCAAACTGATTCGACATGACAGACACTAATAAATGTTTCTTCAGCCATCAATCCTCGTGTCCTGCACGTGATGTTTTTTTTACGTTGTTTAAGAAGCAGCTCAAACTTCATGGCAAATTGTACATTTCGCCACCATTTGCTGTCATAAGTAACGTCCAAGAGTAGCGGTTGCCAAACTCTTCACAGATTACATACCACCAATTTAACACACTATACAACCTCAAGTACAACCACAGCAAACATTATATCCACAATTAACAGACTATATTGAGACATCACAACCTTCAGCATTCATTAAGTAGAATTTTATCAATGACGGCTATGTACAATTTTATAATTGCTGTAAAGCGCCTTGATTAAAGACGCTATATAAATGTCACTGAGATAAGATAAGATATAACAGTTAAAATTTGGAAAAAGACGGAACAAACTTACCCCCTCCAGAGAGCCTTTTGGCGTTTTGGGGACATCTTTAATTGGACGGGGTAAGGTCTGCTTGACGGGGCACAGTTGTCCCTTGTCTGGTGAAATCTAGCTTAATTTCAGCCGGAGGTCTGTTTCTACATTCAGCGTCGTCCTGTGTTTGGTTTGTAATGGAAATCAAAGCAGTAAATTTCCATAAGTTGTATAAAATGGAGTAACAAAAATTACAATGGCCCTGTCTGATTCGCCTGAAGTCCAGCTGAAGCTGACCGTCACATGAAACTTCTATTGGCCGCTCCCCTTCCTCAAGTGGTTTGGCAAAGTGTTCTTCAAGTGAAAACGGGTCTCCGATCCAACTTTCTTTCGTGGCATCTTCAGGGAAGTAGTCACTGAAATCTGCAACCAGGCAATGACAGTGCTCTTTAATGTCAGCAATCAGGTCCAGGTGCAGTTTCAGTTAATTTCCAACCTTATAAATTATTGACAATTATCTCTCTCTCTACTTGCGGAATAATAAACTGCAGTTTGTTTTTCAACAAATTAACTTGTTTTGTCACAAACGTTAAAATGATTTGTTTTCAGGCCTTTTAGACTAGCAATCAGTTCATTAAGACAATCAGAATATTTATACTGGAGGAATCCGATGAGCTATGAAGCTCTTTATAACAGATGTCCAGTAAGGGCGGGTAAGAACGTTACAAGAACAGTACAAAAACACGACAGTATACAGAAACATGTAAACACGTCGACAAAATAGGTAAGCCTTTGCAACCACAGCTCATCAGGGAAAACGGTCAGAAAAACACAAACTTAAATTCACTTGAGAAAAATGTGCAACTCAGAATGGAGTTCAAACAGACGGGCCAACAACACCTTGCCACGAGAAAGCCACATCACTTCAAGTATGCAGAAGACGCTTTCCGTGGTCGCTCCCCATTTCGTTGCACAAAAGAGAAAAGAACCGTGAATTTGAGGTGGCCGTGCTTTGACGACATTGACCACATTTATGCTCCCTGATTTAAAATTACCTTGAGGTTGGCAGGCATTGTTTTGGTTGCTAGAGCCTCACGATGTTTCCAGCAGTGTGTGAATTTGGTAGTGGGTGCAACTTCTCTTACTTGTTGCCAGAACTCCTCCTGACTTGCTAGTCATGGCTAGAGCCCCATTAAGTGCACACACCAATGCATTTTTGCCACTGTAGTCCGTTCTTGGTTATCAGGATATCCAGTTTCTTGAATATCTCTTCTGATGTTGTACGACTTGACAAAGCTTCACAAAATAAAAATAAACTTTCTTTAACTTCCATATCTGCTTCAAACTTTACATATGCAAGAATGTCAGCAACAATTTGTCCTCTCATCTAATTGTAATGAAACTACTTGCTTTTCTCGATGTTTTAAATTCGCTTTTTCTTTTACTTGACAGGCCATATCTTCAATTCTTCTTGACACTGCTGTTCGACAGGAACAACGTCCAACTTGCCTTGCAGCGTCCTCTCCAAGAACGGATGAAGCAACACCTCCCTTGCAACTGGCAGCACGGGGATATCACTTTGTGTGTGTGCATTCCCCATCTGACCAATCCTTAAAATGACTTCAAGTGACCCAAAGCTCTTGCATTAAACACCACTTCGAGTGGTTATTGTTTTCTCACCCGTCTTGGATACTCGCTGAGTTTTTGTTTAAAAAAAAATCAAGAGCTTTATCTTTGAGAGAGTCATGCTTTGTATGAAGAAATTTTTGCTGGAGAAGTGGAAGGTTTTCATGCGGTGGTTTGCAAGGGATTCATAGCTATTGCCATTACGAATGAAA